TTCAGCTCAAGTGAAAAATTTCCTGTTGGTAAAGAGATTTTACTATGCCTGCCTTTTCTCTTCCTTCAAAGCTACCCCAAATGGCCAGGGTAGTGTCAGTTCAATCCTTATCCAAAACTCTCCATGAAAAAAGGCCCCTGTGGCAGGCTCAGTGCAGCTGCTACTTCTTCAATGGGTACTTCAAAGTCCTAACACACTAAGTTCTTAGTATTCCAGACAAAGAGGGTTCAGTGGCATCTCCAATGCAAAAACAGACCACAGTATTTACCAGTCAGAATTCTGTTCCTATATTCTTCTCCTAGTACAAAGAGGCTTGAGGGATCCGAAAACCAATTATTTTCTACTGCAACACTGCATATCCACTACTCCTTCGGTAACAAACATGTGGTGTTGAATCATTTCTGGTTGTTACATGTACTATGAACTTGACGACAAACATCCTTAATTTTCACCTAGTTGTCATACAATTATAATGTATCCTGACTGTCACATTTGAGCTTAAATTGAATTTGGCTTTGCTAACAGATTCTGATACATAATGTAGAGGGCAGAAGGGAAACAAAAGTAAAGCTACAGGCTGTATAAAATAAGCTGCTGAACTCCTCCTGAAGTTGCTTCCTGCCCACTCCTTGTTTGCATATTGCAAGTCTTTAAGTTAGGACCATTTCCTACTTCTATTATACCTCAGAAGCCAGAAACGTACTCTTTGTAAATGAAAGTTAGGATTTTAGTGCATTTATACTTTGAGCCAAATGCAATAATGTTCTCAGCATGGACATTTAAAAAAATCATACACACTGTCCTACCTATTAAAACTGCTGTCTCATTTAAATGCTGCCTTCATGTCTACCCTACCTTTCTTTTTTAACTGTTCACACATCAGACTAAGCATTAGCAGGACTTTTTGCCCCTGTCAAGACTGCTCTATGCCCCAGTTAAGTCAAGGAGTTTGGACTTAAACTCATCTTGATCCCTGACCCCCAATGAAGACCAAAACAGCTTAAATCCAAGTACTTCGGTTTAATTGGATTATGAAGCAGGTTGTCACAACACAACAAAATGATTGGCTCATGCACAGCCAAAAATTTCAATTACCTGATCATTTTTGCTTCAACAGAGTTTCTGCAAGTTACTTAACAACTCTAAGGCTGAACCTAGCTCAATTCAAGCAAAACGTAACAATGTCCAGCACTGAATTAGTTCTATTTATTAGCCTTCTCATAAAGTGCTTTGAAATACATCCTTCTTAGGAGATTACTATTCAAACAGCACTTCTATCCTTGAAGTGATATACTTTGCATCTAAACTAACATAGATACATACGTACCCAGGATACTTAACATTTTAACAGCACTCTACGTTTACTCAAAAGCACTTCATATGATCAAATATAAAATTTCATTGTTCTATTCATATGAAATTTAATTTTGTATCCCTTATGAATTACAAATTATATATCATGTAAATAAAAGTGCATAATTTATTATACAAACTGAGTAGGCATGCTTCATTTTTACTCCAGAAATAAATGATCTCCAAAACCTAAAGACGCACAAAACCCACAATTTTATGTCATTGACATTAAATTCAGTTTACAAAAAATGGTAGGAAAAGTCTTATTAGTACTCACATTATTAGGACAATGAATACAATCTTATACCAGTAGCTCTGTCTGAATTGGCCAACTTTGCTTTTCTTGTATAATTCTTGTGAAAATCAGGAGGTCTGAACATGACCTCTCCTAGAGGCATCTCATGGCGATGAAAGAGATCACAGTGTAAGATGTGGTAAAGTCATTTTAATGTATTCTCGAAGGCTTTCATGACAGGGATCCGATGGTTGTTGTGGGTTTTCTGGGCTGTTCGGCCATGTTCTTAAGGTTTTTCTTCCTAATGATTTGCCAGTCTCTGTGGCCAGCATCTTCAGAGGATAGGAGTCAGAACTCTGTGCTCTGTTGCTCAATAGCTTCCCTGTGTTCAGGGCCCATCACAAAAATACAACAAATGTTACGGTCAGCAAAAAACAAGAAGTGACCCCCTCCCCACTGCAGGAGTATACTGGATACCTTGCAGTGGTGGCCAGGTATATACTGGAACCACAAAACGCAGCATTCACACCAGAATCAAAAAACATGAGACACTGCAGACTAAAACAACCGGAAAAATCAGCAGTAGCTGAACATGCCCTAAAACAAGCTGGACATGAAATCCTATTTCAAAATACTGAAGTACAGTGGTGCCCCACATAGCGACGATAATCCGTGCAGCCAAAATCGTCGCTATACGGATTCATCGCTATGCAAAATAAAAAAGGCCATAGGAATGCATTAAAACCCGTTTAATACGTTCCTATGGGCAAAAAACTCACCTTTATGAGAAAATCCTCCATACAGCTGCCATTTTCGCTGCCCGGTAAGCAAAGAATCCGGGCGAAAACCTAGCGGGCGGCCATTTTTTTAACCCGGTGGCCATTTTGGAACCGCCGATCAGCTGTTGGGAAATCATCGTTATGCAAAAATCAGTAAACGAAACAGCTTACAGATCATTGCGAAGCGATTTTTCCCATTAGAAACATCGCAATACGATCGCAAAAATGATCACAAAAAATCCGTTGCTATGCGGATTCGTCATTAAACGGGGCATCCGTTAAGCGAGGCACCACTGTACTGGACAACACCAGCAATCATTATGTTAGACTGCACAGGGAAGCCTCTGAAATCCACAACACCAGCAGAGCTTCAACAAAAAAGAACAAAGTGTTAAACTCAACAAAGCCTGGCTCCCAGCATTAAAAAATACAGTCTGCAAAAGGTCAACAAACTCTACCCAGCCACAAGGACCAGTGATCACTGCACACAAAAGACCAGCTAACGACACCCATCAATCACAGTGACAGATCATCTCTCCCCCTTAT